GGTGTGGCCACAGGAGACAGAGGACGGCTCCTCACAGTCCGGACTTTTTTGGAGAGTTTTGGGGATGACCAGGGTGAGTGCCTGGGAGACACATAAGGTGAAGAGCTAGGTGTTCCTCTTTGCCAGACTTTGGTCCTAAGATTGGGTCCTCCATCATATCCCTCCTGCTGTTTTTGCTCCTGCAAACGTTTTTGCCTCTGTTTATCCATATTTCTTGTCAAAATGCTCGTCATGCTCATTCTTGGTCCTGGGAGCTCAAAATGGTATCCCAGCCTCAGCAGCGTCGTGTTCTCCTTCAGCAGCTTGACAATCTCCATTTCCACCTGGCTGCCCATGATGTGCCTCTGGTTGTGGAAACGCAGCTCCGTGAGCACCGTGTTGTGCTGCAGAGCTCTCATGATGGCCAGGATCCCCTTTCCCGTTATGAAGTTGGAATCAACGTTTATATTGGTGATGTGCTCATTGACTTTGAGCATCTCCGCAATGGCCATGGCCGCACTGTCGTCGGCATGCGTGTTGGCCAGACTGAACGTCTTCACCACAGTGTTGTCCTTGAGGGCTTCAGCAAAGCGGGTGAGGGTCTGTGTTGTGATGTTCTCAATGTTGTTCAGATTGACTTCTGTGGTGTCAGGGTCATTGCTTTTAATCTTGTCCAAAGCGTCCTCAATCACTGTAGGATTTCCACAAGGGTGAATGGCAGCTGGGGACTCTGTGTTTCTTCCATTGCTGTCGTTGGTCAAATTTATGTTCTCTATTTGACTTTTAAATATCTTTGGCTTAGAGTTATCAGAATTGACACTATCATAATTTACAGTTCCATTAATCCCTTTTGCAGTTTCAATTGTTCTTTCCTCTTCATCGCTGTCTTCTTCCTCCTCTTCCTCCTGGGACTCCTCCTCCTCCTCTGTATACACTTCCTCAGAAACCTCACTGTTACTTTCAGTAAAGATAAGCTCTTCCTCACTTTCCTCTTTGTCTTCTGCAACCTAAAGAGTATGATATCATCGTTAAGCTTCTTAAAAATGATATCATTTTTAAGTACATTTTTTAACTTGCAAAAGTAGCACATGGCAAGTGACATAAGTTTATAAGGAAAAAAGTTAACAGTCCTCTGCTTCTGATCTGTCACTAGACAAGGCTGACATTTTATTGCAATAAAGAGCAATAGCTTTTTCTACAAACATTTCTCTTGTTTTCTACAGAATATCCAGAATTCAACTTATTGAATAAAATTATATAATCATTTTGCCAATCTGAACAAATAAATCAGAACTTCAGCTTTGGAAAACCTTGATAAATTTGTCCACCTCCTGAGGACCGACTCTTACTGGTTAACTCTCCATTTACTTACAATGTAGCAAATTCAACCATCCCTTCTGGAATCACTCTGTCTTATTTCTCCATCTCAAGCAATCAAATGACAACAAAAATATACAATATGTTAATGAGTTCCCCTTTTTAATGCTCAAAAATTCCCAAATTTGCCATCCATAGCAGATGCGACAGAAGCCAACCACTCTCTGCCAGGCCTTGCCTCAGTGTAGACAGAAGCAGAGCTGTCATTTGCTCCTCCAGCATTTATCTGCCTCTGCGGTAGAGCCGGCACAGGGATTCAGAGACTCTCTGAATCACCTGAGAGCTGCCTCTGTAGCTGTCCCTTATCTGGGCAAGGGAAGTCTAAAGGCAGGGCTGCTGCTCAGGACAGCAGGAAGTCAAAATCCAGTTCGATGCAGAGGAAACATTCAGGTCACCCTTTTGGGAAGCTCACCTTGAAACCTCCATCTAGTCCAGGGTTAAATGAGACAGACTGCAGAAGACCAGGTGGGAAAGATAATCACCCTTGGCACCCACTAGATTCTAACCAGTAAAGTGGATGGAACAGCAGAGAACAGTAGAAAATCTTGAAGTAAGCCATTGCCCCAGCCTGATGGTCTTAAATTATTTAGCATGTATCAATTATGAAAGGCTTTCAGGCAAACACGATTTCATTCTATCTTTGTCTTTCCTGTTTACAAGACTTGCTGCACAAAGAAGCCCAAGTGACCCCTTGTTTCTCTTTTTCTTGCTATCTTTTCTGATTTTTACAAAAATAAAGGTCTAGAAATTGCTGACAGAGTCTGATTTTTTTCTCCTGCTGTCTCTTTAGTCCTTTCTCTTTATCTTTTCTGCAGCCCTGGGACCCTGCCCTGTCCTCCAAGCCGTGATTCTTCTCTCTATATTGGCAACTTTTTTCTGACCCCAAGGGTGCCCGCTGCCTGAGGCATGTGGATCTAGCTTTGGAAAACACCGCACTTATCTCCAGGCTTGTTTGCCCAGTTGCTGTCACAAAATAGCCTCCAGTTATCCACTCTTTGGAGTGGCAGGCACCAAGCGATGGCCTGGGGAAGGGGTCAGCCACTCCTGGGATGACTTGTCCAGTCTTAATTTACTCCCTTTTACTCCCTTCTTCAGGAGCAGGGAGGGAGAGAGACGGATACTCTGTGTGTCTGCGTGTGTGTGTGTGTGAGAGAGAGAGAGAGAGAGAGAGAGAAAGAGAGAGAAAGGTTTGGTGGCAGCTGGCTGCAAGTCACAATGCAACAACATAAGAAAAAGAGTGTGGCTCTAGCCAAGTCTGCGGGCATATGCGAGGGGAGAGAGGAAGCCTTCCCTGCCCAGCAATGAAACAAATTGATTAACCCGAGAAGGAAAGAATTGTGGGCTGACTTCTCCTCATCCCCATTCCACTCCAAATTCCTTATCATTCTAGTCCCTGTAAAGCTGTGTGTGTTCATGTGTTTGTATGTATTTTTAGCTGTTTTAGTATTTGGAGGAAAGGGGCCTGTCTCAAAATTCAAGGTATACAGCCTTGTATGACACCATTACATTTCATTCCCTTTGGTTTTTTTAAAGACCCTCTGGCTCTATCTGCAAGATCTGTTTTCCCCTCGTAATGTACCTGGACAGGTAATACCTGAAACTGTGAGTTGTCATATAGCATCTAAATGATAGCTCTCCCAGAAAGCCTTCTTTGACATCCCCTCCAATTATCCCTCCGATGCATTCCCGTAGCACTGTACTCGCCCCCAATAAAGTACCTGTCACTCTTTATTTTGGTCACTTGTTTTCCCCAGCAGACGGTTAGCTGTTGAGAGCAGCGGACCATCTCTGCTTTGCTCACCTAGCACAGTGCTTAGCCTGTAGTAGGAGCTCAATAATTATTTGTTTACCGAATGGCTCTAAGTTGACATTGGTTAACCACAGCTGAGAGTTAGGACTAGACACAGGAGAAAGGTGACAAGCCCTCCCAGTTTGCCTGAGTGTGAAGGGTTCCCCAGGATTTTAGTCATGAATCTAGACAGTCCCGGACAATCTGAGATGATTAGTCACCCTAGGTGGGGGACGTCTGCAGAAAGAAGAACAGAAGGGGAAAAGGTGTCTACAGAGGCGAGGTGAAAGGATGCAAAAAACAGACTTTGCTCACTTTATAAAATATTCTGTCCCTAGGGGCCTATTTTATGACAGATTTCCTATATGCCATGCTTTGGCATTAACCCTGATTATTTGAAGAATGGAGGTGGGAAGGAGGGTGTAGAATGAGGAGGTGGGAGATGTCAAGGGACTGGACAAGGAGAAGGGGAATGTTAGCAAACTTAGAAAACAAATCAGGTAATAAGAAGAGTGGCCATTTCTCCTGATTGCCTCCCTATTATGTACGTACATATCACATTCAAAGTATGTGTTAATTGACTGTTTATGTTATTGGTAAGGCTTCTGGTATACAGTAGGCTATTAGTAGTTAAGGTTTGGGGGAGTCAAAAGTTATACATGAATTTTGGATGCTGCAGGGGCAGGAGTTGGTGGGCCTGACCCCCATGTTGTTCAGGAGGTAACTGTAGTTGAGCGGTTCTTAAGTTTTACTGTGTGTCATAATCACCTGTGAGAGCACCAATTGTTGGGCCCCATCCCCAGAGTGTCTCGTTCATCAGATTTAGGGGAGCTCTATAATTTGCAGTTCTAAGAAGATCCCGGGTAATGCTGATGCTGCTGACTGGGCACCCACAATTTTGAAATGTTCTTTAATTTTCAGGTCTATGTAATTAACAGTTCTGTTAACTTCTAATGAATTTCTTAACCTCGCCTTGTCTCAGTTCTCCAGTGCAGAAAGTTAAGAATGAAGTGAGATAACGGGAGAAACTCATTGGCACCTGTGCTGAGATTGAACCACTGTCAATAGGGGAGCTAGACCATTGGGATTCTAGGGTCCCTGGGAGCTCCAGTGTGGCGTAAGTTTGTGTAAGCCCAGGTGGGCAGAAAGTCTGCAATTCAACAGGTGTTGCGTCTGCTTTTTGTAAGCCTTTACAGAGCCAGCTGCCTGATAATCAGTCAAGACCCTCCGCTCCGTCTCAGGGTCCCTACTTTACGGCTTTTCACTTACGCATCTACCTTGTTCCCCCAGCCACCCCACAGTTGCATGGAGAGTTTTCCTGTTGTGGGAATTGGATTTGCACCCTCCATCAGCAAGCTCCTGCTCATCACGCTTTGCAACTACAGAGAGCTGGCCAGCAGGGAAAGTACTGGGAGAAAAGTTAACTAGCCTAGAAAGGAACTGAAGTCCATCAACACAGCAGCCTCTCTAATTGAGCTCATAAGCCATTAGCAGGGATCAGCAAAACCTTTGGCAGGATCAGGTGGGTTCATCCAGCTGACGACAAGTTTTGCCCTTTGCTTCCACCACTGTCACACATTGTGACATTAAAAAGTCTTTTTTGGATTATTGATACACTGGTTGTATAGCCTGGATATTCTGAGACAGTTTTATTCTTTTTTTTTTTTTTAAATGAGACAAGGTTTCGGTTTGTGGCTCAGACTGAGTGCAGTGGCACAGCCGTAGCTCACTGCAGCCTCAACCTCCTATGCTGAAGCCATCCTCCCACCTCAGCCTCCTGAGCAGCTGGGACTACCACTTGCTAATGTTCCACCACACCCCGCTAATTTTTTTTTTTGTTTGTTTGTTTTAGAGATGAGATCTCACTATTTGCCAGAGCTGGTCTTGAACTCTTAGGCTCAAGTGATTCTCCTGCCTCAGCCTCCCAAAAAAGTGTTGGGATTACAGGTGTGAGCCACCATACCCGGCCAGTTTTATTAGAGAGTTTTAAATAATTGTGATAATAATGTCATTATTATTTTGACACTCATTATCACATCAAAGAAAAAAAAATCCCTCTTAAAACAATGGTTAGTAGAGGAATTGACCTGCCCAAGTACTGACTTGTATGTGTCCTTCCTTCTAACACACCCCTTCTAGCTGCTCAATACCATAGCCTTGGCAGACCCTGGCCGGATCCCAGTGGCCCTTCCTGCAATGATTGACATGGACAAAACTCACACATATCTTGCTGCAATTGTGGCCCACATAACCCTATCATCAAGATCATCTAACAGCCCTAGATTAGTGCTGTGGAAGTCTTGCCATTGGCTTTAGGCCATTTTGACTTTAGATGATTCTAACAGAGTGCAAGGGTTTTAAACTGTTTCTCCTGACCTCTGTTCTTCCATAATTCCGGAAGAATTTTTTTTTGTTATATGGACACTTTATTATCATTACTATTTTCCCAGAGAATAGTAGTCTTTTGGACTTCCTGCTGGTAATGACTCATTTGGCAAATTCAAAGTAACCATTTACTGGGCAATACACAAGGGATTCATAGACCTGAGCTCTGATATAAGCACATTTACTAATCTCAGGATCACCATTGTAAAGGAGACAGAAATCTTAGAGATCATCTATACAGCTGTGCTGCCCCTGAGTCCTCAGATGTGTTTCAGGATGTGTTATCATTTTGAAATTCTATGCAAAAGTTGGTGTATTTTGCACAAACCCAGGGCTATTTTAAGACGGTTCATAACTTATCAAAATTTCAAAGGAGTTCTTGATTCACAAAAGAAACACTGTCTCTAACTCCCTCGATATCCAGAGGGAAAGCGAACCCTGAAGTGACAGTTCAAGGTCTAACAACATGGGAACAGAGCAGGGACTCTTAACAAGGCCCCGTGACTCTCAGTGTCATGTACTTCCCACCACCCCACACTTCTTGGTGTTGGAACAGAACTATTTCACCATAGCTACTATCACAGTCAAAGCAACCAGTGTTCCCACTTTTGTCTTTATAGGAGAGAATAAACGTACTTAACTGAAAAAAAAAAATGTATACATGTTATACGTACACATATATCTTAGGAACATTACCAACTTATAGCTCCAACAAGACTTATGTTTGGCAAAATATTGAATCCCATACACTGGTTGAGAATTATTTTCCGCTTGAGCTTTCTGTTTGTAATCAAAGAGCCCCAATTAAGAATTTTACATATTATGATCCATTGGGTGACCATAGCATTTACATGATTATTTCAGCCTGAGAAATGATTTAATAGCAAGTATAAATGGGTTATAGAAAAATTCAAGTGATTAGAATTGAGAAGTTAGGGAAAACAAGTGTCTAGGTTTGGGATGGGGTGATGGGGAGGTGGGATTAGCCAATGAAAAGTCCCAAGAGCCTACCTTTCCACATTCCCCCAGTCTCTCCTTCTCCAAGAGTTTTTGGGACTCCTTTTCCCAATAGGCCATCAGTGCCTCTCTGCTGAATGTCCCTGTGGGGGTTTTCTCAGTCAGGCTCTTCTGCCTTAGCCCCACGGGAAGGTTGCGGTCAGGTTCAATGTCTTCCAACTCTCTCTCTAGCTCCTTCAGCTCCTCAGCTGACAGGGAGGCGAGGAGTTCATCCTCGTCGATGGATTCATATTTACTGAGTCCTCTTCGGTAGCCAAAGGTAGACATGGTCCCTGCTTTGTCAGACCCAGAAGGAGCTTGAAGGACCAGGCATTCAAGGCAGCCAGAAGCAGGCAGGGGGGCAAGTGGCAGACTGGTCAACAACTGGTGCTAGGAGTGGCTGCGGGAGCCTTTTAAGAGTGGTGATACAGGGCTGTGACAATGCAGAGAGGGGTGAAAGCATGGGCTGTTTTAAGCATCAGACGTCAGCCAGACATTTGAACACAAAGAATGTCACATCGGTGGTGGATGGAGGTCTCAGAACCAGTGGGGATTATTAACATACTGGCCAGGGCCATATTTAGCTGAGCCTGATAGCTCATGAGGACAGGCAGAGAGTGTTTCAGATAAGGAGTAACATAGTTCTTCTCACTTTGTATTCAAACAACAGGGGAATAAAATTTATTTTGAAAATGACTTGCCGCCACCACCATGGCCATGAAAAGATTTTTTCATTATAATCTTCGGGTTGAGAAATGTCTCCACAGTACTGCATGGGTAGTTATTCTGGTTCTTCTATAAACATACTGTGGGTGCTACTGATGGGGACAGAAGGTCATAATAATATAATATTTCATAATTTTATTGTACTTTGCGGTTTACAAAGCACTTTAATCAGTTTTTCTAATCATAAATCCTGTGAGATGAATAACATGGTTCTCATTTATAGATGTTGGCAACCGAGGCATGGAGAGATTAAGTGTAACGTCAGAAGTCAGAGAGCTGAAAGTACAGAGAAGTGCCTCTCTCCACTGAACGAAATGCTTCCTCCTTCTCACCATGATTACTAGTGAAAAACTAGACTTGCAAATAAAACTCTAAAAAGACAAACCATAGTACTGGGTATGATTTGTTAAGGACTGACATTATGCCATTCCAGTGCTAAGCATTATCTCCTTTAATTCCACAATCCTGTAAGGGGTACATTAGTGCCCATACTTTACTAGTACACACTCAGAGAGGTTAAGTACACACATGCTAGGTTAAGTTACTAGCATGCGAGCACAGAGCTAAGAAGTAAGACAGCTAGAATCTGAGCCCAGATTTGTACCTGGCCTGAAAATGGAAGAGATGTGAATTTGAAATTATATATACAACTTGATCAGTATGTATTATATATATACGCAACACATTTTCTTATGTACTCCATACATTTGCACAAATTAAAAAAAGAAAGTATATATGACCATTTTGTTATATGTATGTTCAAATAAACCCATAGTTTGTAGGACTTCCTAAATATAATACCATTTTACAGATATGTAAAATCTATTAAAGTATTAATGCAAACAAAAATACATTTATCAATACATGTATAGTACATGATATTCTGATTATACCCTCAGCAGCTGGTGAATATTTGGGTTGTTTCTAGCTTTGGGTTTCTAGCTTTTATCTATGAATACAATTTCTATGAACATTTACATACAAGTGTTTGAGTGACCTCAGGTTTTCATTTATTTTGAGTAGCTATGTAGGAGCAGAATTACTGGGTTATATGATAAATTTACTTTTTAAGAAACTGTAAAAAACTGTTTTCCAAAATGGCTGCACCAATTTACATTCCCATCAACGATGAATGAGAGTTCTAGTTTCTTGACATCCTCACCTATTATTGATTGTCTTTCTATTATAGTCATTTTACAGGGTGTCAAATGATAGTTTTAATTTTCATTTCCCTAGTAACTAATGATGTTCATCATTTCATGTGTTTATTGACCATCTTATATCTTCTTTGGTGAAATATTTATTCAAATCTTACCTCCCCCTTTTTAAAAAAAATTTTTGAGACAGGGTCTTGCTCAGTCACCCAGGCTGGAGTGCAGTGGAGTGATCATAGCTCACTGCAGCCTCAAGCTCTCGCTTATGGCCATTTTAAAATTGGGTTAATTATCTCCTTATTATTGAGTTGTAAGAATCTTTATATATTCTGGAGACAAATATTTTATTAGGTGTATGTTTGTTTTATTCTGGAGCTTGTCTTTTGGTTCGTTTTGAAGAGCAAACTTTTTAAATTTTGGTGAAGTCCAAGTGCAATTTATCAATTTTTTTTCTTGTATTGGTTGGTGTTACAGTTAAGAAATATTTTTCTGGCCATGCACGGTGGCTCATGCCTGTAATTCCAGTGCTCTGGGAGGTTGAGGTGGGCAGATCACTTGAGCCCAGGAGTTCAAGACCAGCCTGGCCAACATAACAAAACCCTGTCTCTACTAAACATAAAAACATTAGCTGAGCATGGTGACAGATGCCTATAATCCCAGCTACTCCAGAGGCTGAGGTGGGAGAATCATTTGAACCCAGGAGGCAGAGGTTGCAGTGAGCCAAGATGGCGCCACTGCCCTCCAGCCTGAGTGACAGAGCAAGACTCTGTCTCACAAAAAAAGAAAAAAGAAAAAAGAAAATTTTTTTCCAACCCAAGGTCACAGAGATTTACTCATATTTTCTTCTGAAAGTTGTATAGTTTTAGGTTTATTTAGGTTTCCTACCCATTTTGACTTGTGTGTATATATTCATCTTTTTTATTTTTTAATTTTTAAAGGTATATATTCATCTTTTTTATTTTTTATTTTTTAGGCAGGGTCTGTCTCTGTTGCCCAGGCTGGAGTGTAATGGCACCATTACACTCCATAGCTCACTGTAGCCGCTACCTTTTGGGTTCGGGTGATCCTCCCACCACCGCCTTCGAGTAGCTGGGACTACAGACGGCAAGCCACTACGCCCAGTTAATATTTTTTTATTTTTTGTAGAGATAGTGTTTTGCCATGTTGCTCAGGCTGGTTTCAAACTCATGGACTCAAGTGCTGCCCCCGCCACAGCATCCCAAAGTGCTGGGACTACAGGTGTGAGTGACAACACCTGACCCAAATGTATCTTTTTGCACACAGATATTCAATTGTCCTAGCACCATTTGTTGAAAAAACTATCCTTTCTTCAATTGAATTACCTTGGCACCTTTGTGGAAAATTAACTGACCATAAATACAAGGGCTTATTTCTAGACAGTCAATTCTGTTCTGTTAATCTATATATCTATTCTTATGCAATATCGCATGGCCTTAATTACTGTAGTTTTATAATAAGTTTTGAAATCAGGATGTGCATAAGTCTATCTGATTTTGCTGTCTTGTGAGAATGTTTTGGGTAACTATTTTGATCTTAACTCATTATGGTATTCTGCTCCAAAAATAACTATGACACTTCAGTGATGCTAATGGGAGAGATGATGATAGAATTAGAAATAATGAGTTCATTTTTTTTTTTTTTTTTTTTTTTTTACATCCTGTAGCATATGCTTTTGGGTAACCTCAGCTCAGCGAGGGCCCATCTTTTTTATTTGAAAGGGTTTGATTTTTGGCAATGACATCAAGTCATGATAGCCAGATCTGATGCATAAGATGAGTCATTCAGCTGTAGTATCACATTTTAGGTAAAAAGATGAATAAGGATTACAACCGTGTAAAAATCTATGTGCTTTTGGGAAATAAAAAAGAAAAGATGTCTAAACGATAGCATGAGCTCGTTCTTTCAACAATTATATATTGGCCACATGTGATATGTTGACTACTGTGCAAGTTTTAGGGTATATAAATATGTGCGAAGAAACACTGGAATTGTGTTTTACCTAACTATCTCATGTTTGTAATCGTTCTGTAACATCTTTTTTTTTTTCTTGCTAATTTTTACTGGACAATTGACAAAACACATATTACATGCCAGATTCTAATTTAGTTGCTTGGGTTAGAGAAGTGAACACAATCAACAAAGTTCCTTCCTCCATAGAGCTTACATTCTAATTGGGAGAGACAGACAATATCTAGACAAACATGTAAATATAGAACTTATTAGATAGAAGTTCTTCGGAGAAAACTAGAGCAGGGTAAAAGGGAAGGAAGATTATGGGGGTAAAATTTCATCTAGGAAGATCTCTGTAGTAAGGTAACATTTGAACATAGACCTGGGCTCAATACAAGCAGACTATAATATACAGTTAGTATTCAGATATTTTAGAATCACAGATTCTCAGATTTCAAAAGGACTTTGAAATACATGAATTTTCTATCACTTCTGTATGTGATCATCTGGTGTTTGCTTGAACATCTTCAGTGAAAACAGCACATCTTCAAAAGCTCACTTCATTGTTGGATGACTCAAATCTTCAGAAAAATCTTTTTATTGCTTTGAAACTAGTCTCTTGAAAAGTCAACATATTTTAAATTTTGTCATTGGAACAACCCAGAATATCGTCTCATATGGATTTCTTTTTCCACCCCCCCACCAAATCTTATGTTTCCCATGAGTGACTCTGAAATGGCTCCAAAAGAGAAGGCTTAATGCCTTTTGTTTGTTTTGTGTGTGTGTTTTTGCTATGTGGCAGCATCACTGGAAAAAACCATTATGGTCTCTCAAAGACACGACCTTAAAAATAGCAGTTATTTAGATATCCTAGTATATTTGTTACAAATCACTCCGATTATAATAATAATCACAACTCACTAATGATCTTATGAGTTGGTTCAATTCCTGGTTCCCCTTGTAAGTATCCTTCACAAGCTTTAAATCTCCTGGATACAATTCTGCTGAGTGATCAAACACTATCCGCCTGACCCTGACTAGAATTAAATATGGTGAATAATTTAGTTTTCTTTGGAACCTTGTCTACATTGAAAAAATCCAGTCACCTATATGTTCCAAGCATCAGCATTTTGTATTTTGAGATTTTTACTTGGTCACATTATGTTTTTGGATAGAATTGTTTTTGCAGTCAATAATACTCCAAGCCTTTTGACAGTTAATATTTTGTTTAAAAAAATCTGCCTTGGGGGAGAATTTTTTCATAGTTCTGGCTTCCCAGTGAGATATATTCAGATATACTCAGATGCATACTATCTCCCAATATATTGGCAATTCCCTTTTTAGTGAAAACAGAGCTTCCCCTTTCAACTTTTTTTTCCTTTTGGTTTCCTCCTGAAAATACTATCATTTGTTTGTTGGTTTGTTTATTCAACACACATTTACCAACTACCTTGTATGGAACAAGTCTGTGTTGGAAGCTGGGATTATAAACAGAAAATGGAAATTGATCTAGTCTCTGCCCTCAAGGAGTTCATACTCCTGGGAGAGGCAGACAGCTGACAGTAACATAGTGCAGTGATGCCTCTAGCCAGGCGCCGGGGAGGGAAGAACCGTGGGGCACAGATAAAGAAGCAATATAGCCTATATGAATGGAGTCAGAGAAAGTGCAGAATCAGATAGAGCTTTCCAGGCCGAAAGAGCAGCTTCTGGGCAAATGCACAGGAGTATGGAAACAAAAACAAAAACCAGACTATTTGGCATAGGGGTGCAGAGTAGGTGGAGATGAGGCAGAAACTGGCCCTGGTTCATGTACTACTTTTTAAAAATGGCTTTGGTATCTACCCCTCCCCCCTCTTAATAGCCCCCAGTATCATGCCTTTCACATGGTAGGTGCTTATACTTGTTGAATATTTCTTTATTTGAAGGGCCTTCTAGGCCATGTCAAAGAGTTTTGGACTTTATTACTATCTAGTGTTAGGTGGATGTAACATTACCCCATAGCATCATCCATAGCCATAGTTGCCTAACAGGACACTGTTCACCTTAGCAAGTGTCCTGATTTAATGGAGACTCAACAAGAGAGTGGCAAAAACTCACCAGTTCCTCCAAAAATCAGCAATACCAGACCTGCCAGTAGATCTGGTGTTTCCACAATTAGTATTTATGGGGTGATCAGAGAGAGCTCCTAAATGTACACATATCTAATTCCTACTTGAGCCTAACACTCTCTATGGAAGGAGACTCCCACTTGCC